ACACACACACACACACACACACACACACACACACACACTTTTTATATTATATTAGCCTATTCTAAGTAGTCTATGTTTCTATTTCCTTATTTGTACATTTGAAGCTCATGGGTATTTAATAATAAAGTCGGGTTTAGGAATTGGTGTAGGGAGGGATTTACTAACTAACTAACCCTAACCCTAACCCAATAAAACAACATCTATTTAATAATTGTAATAAATATGATCATTTACACTCAATATGCTATTATTGCATACTGTTTTATAATGCACTACAATACTGAGCTGCAAGTATACAACATTTTTTGCACTAAGTAGCCTATAAATAGCATCTAATAACTATGTTCACTTATTGCAAAGAAAATACTGCTGTTTTCACTTATAGGCCTGCTCACTGTTATAAAACACTGCAAGACGAGCGTTATGAATGCTTTTGGTGTTTGGACACAATGTTCTTTCCACTGCTGGCTATTTGTGAGAATAGCTGGACTGTGAAAGGAATAATTCACCCCCAAAAATAAAAAAATCGGCTTTTACTTTCCCTCATGAGTTATCTGAAGGACTTTTATGGTACATAGTGCTTGATGCTTTTTGTCTTTTTAGAAGCCTGACATGTTTTAAAAGTCTATAGCAACATAAAGATGAATAAATGATGACAGGGTTTTCATTTTTAGTTAAGAAATCTCTCATGCATTTTTAGTTGTATTTAAAGCATTAAGGCTTAACAAAAACATAAAATCATAATTACAGTATAATCATCAGAGAAAAGCCCTTTAATTAGCCTATGTGAGAGGAAACAGGCCTACGTATGAATTATTATGCATTGAAATGGCATTCAGTAATCCTGGTCTCAAAAAACAAAACAAAAAAAAACACTACAAGTCACAAAATGCACAAAGATGAGGCCACACGCTACTCTCTAAGCCAACAATCAATGAGAAGATTTGTCTATTTTTAAAAAACATCTTAACTCTTATTATTAAAGTTCTAAGGTGTTTAAGCTGTTTTTTACTTGGGGCTGTGAAATGTATTTTGTGATGTGGACTGGACCAATCTCTGAATGACTAACTCTTAGTTATGCAATGCAGCTTGTTTGCCATTGGGTTATTTTGCAGAT